TGCAACTATTTATTCTTATTGTATAAAATACACGCATTTTTTTTTCTTTTACTTTTTTTTTCTAAATAAAAACAAAGATTATAGAAAGAATAAAATATACATGTTTATTTTTAATTTTCTTTAATATAAATATTTTTATAACCATCAAACAAAATATCGGTTATTCTAAGTGTTTCTTTTAAGTTTCTAACGTGAATTCAAATCATTCGACAAAATAATTCAAAACAGGCAACAAAACATAAGGGAAAATTTAAAAAAAAGCACCTTCAGAAAAACAATACTGAGAAAGAACTTTCGGTGTAAATTTATTTGAGTTTTATTAGCCACAAAAACAACGTTATCGCCACATTTGCTTATCTACGCCTTGCTGATACATTATATCATACTTCTCCTTTCCCCTCCTCGTCATGTAAGTTTTTTTTGTTATATAAAAGTATAAGCAAAACCCAACTCTCCTTTTGTCTTATTTTCCCTCAATTTTCTTTTTATATCAAGTCTCTATATTTTTGAAGAGAGTAGACTTGATTATTTAATCATTTATTAACATTATTATTATTATTAAATAAAATTATTGTTATTTAAAAAAGAAGCGGACAACAAATGGATATATGTTCCATCAACGAGGAATATACGAATACTGCTAATAATAACAATAACAATAATAGTAATAATAATAATAATGACAACATTCATAATAATAAGGAAGTGGAAAATATTCCTCAAACTGCCACCAATACCAACACACATTCAACTATCGTGGCGAATTCCGTAAATACCAATAATGCTACTGCTACAAGCCCCCATCACTATTACCATCAACGTCCTACTCCTTATTCGAAACCAAATCGAGCGCCAAAAAGACCTTTGGATGGTAATTTTATTCACTTAATTCTTCGATAAATTCAAATCTTAAATTATTCTTATTCAGGCTCTAAATTCACCGCGTTAGCTTACATACATATAACGATGACAACATTATAATAATCAAAATATTTTTTATATTCTAGTGTTACCGGATTCATTGGATATAGACGCGACAATCGATAAAATGGATTCATTATACACAACACAGTTTTACTCATGGATAAAAAATCCACAGAATCGAGAATATGCAGCATTACGATTACGACCACTTGTTGAAGAGTATAATAGTTTATCACATACTGCACGAGTTTTACGATGGATTGCATCCGATTGGAAACCATCTGAAGCAAAAGATTTATTTCGTTTGGTGACAGAGAGATGGGATGAAGGGAAAAGACGATGGTTGGCCTTTTTTTTAGTGAGGGCTCAACGTGAAGAAGAAGGTTTATTCCCAAAGAGAAGACGTGTTAGAACCTCACTTTCCGATGATTCTTGGGATCAGCAAGAAGAAAATAATAATAATAGTAATAATAATAATAATAATAATAATAATAATAATAATAATACTGCTACTGCTGCTGCTGCTGCTGCTGCTACTACTACTACTACTACTACCACTACCACCACCACTACTACTATTACTACTACTAATAATAATGACAATAACAGTAATAGTAATAGTATTTGTGTTTCGTCTTTATCATCATCATCGTCATCATCATCATCAGCGATTAATTCAACGACTATTCGTAATAGTAGTATCAGAAACAATCATTACCACAATCACCACACTCACGCTCTCAATCACATTCACAATCATAATCACAGTAGTAGTAATAATATTCGAGGATATGATGTACCCGAAAACGCCAATATATAACACAAAAGGATAATCATATCAGGGTTTTATTAACAAATGCTGATGGATAATAACAATATCAATAATATTCATAACGATAACCATTATATACGTTAGCAAAAAAGATTAGGATAACAAAAAAAACTTATTTGCTTTGCTAGTTATTAATCAAATAATAACGACATGTACTACAAGATAAATCATGATTTATTCATTGTTAAAATATAAATCGTCATTTAAATTAATTAGTATATTGAAGGATGATATTTAGAAGATGCATTTACGAGTAATAAAATGTTTCAATGCCACTATCAAACTCTGTTCATTGAATCAATTCAAAAGAAGAAAATGACCTCGTACAGTGTTAGCGAAGCAAAGAAATGGTTGTTAATCTTTCGCCATTTCTCTTTCTAAGAGCAACACACCAACACACACGAATTTTTGTATTCATTCTTTCGATGTTTGTTGATGATGAAGGCGATCGAGAAAAAAAAATTCTACACTTGCTCATTTATAGGGGTTTAATGATGATGATGATGATGATGATTGTGACACTAAATTCAAACTTACATTCTTCCCACTTTTATATTGAAAGTTAGGATGTCTAAGGTCGAACTTACAACTTTGAAGAAGTTATTGGCTGGCTGGAGCTAAACGACTAGAGTTTAATGAAAATCTAATAGGTTACTTTGAGCTCAACTCAAAAATTACAATCACATTCGTAAAGAAGCTACTGTAAATGGAGGCACAATTTTTTACATATTTGAATTTTCAGACCCGACAAATAGTGTATCAACAAGATAAGCTCTACTTTGCTGAAGAAAGAATATAGAAATCAGAGCAACAGACGTACTTAAAGGAATTATGAATTAGAAGAGAGATAACTTGACACTTTCTTTTCCATCTCATATCTGTGGTCGAGATTGAGAATGTTTCATACCAACCAAATTTGGGGGAGAGCTAACCGAGAATATAAAAATCTTTGTTAACCCGATAAACAAAGGAAATCTAACACCGAAATGATAAATCGTTGACGCGATGTTGATTCGATACAAAGATCTTGTGCCGAGGAAAATATCTTACAAAGTATGTTTGATTTTTTACCAAAATGTATCATGTATAATAATCATTATCTTCACCAGCTAGTGTGGTGCAACCTTTCCAAATCCGTATATTTTATGAAACGCTATGTGAGAGAGCATGCACGTAAAAGCGACATGACGTTAGAAAGGTAAATAAAAACTCAATGCCCCGGTCTCTTCTTTGTGTATGCCCCCCAAATACTATACAACCCGATATAATCGCATCTTTTACTATTTTCCAGAATTCTATTTCATGGACTACGTTAAAATAATCGAGCCCAAAATAACCAAATTGGCTTATTCATGATCATTCTCCGGAAATTAAATTCCAGTCTATATGCTATTCTTTCTCAAAATTAAAATAAAAAAGAATGGTTAATATTATTTACAGGTTAAACAGTATGAAACTTTATTATCAACAATATTAAAGATACACAAGGATGAGATGGCATATTCTAGAATAATCGCCATTATTTGAAATGGGACTTAAAAAAAAATCATTAATAAATCTATATGAAAGGACTATTCATCCTTGAACCATCTATTATATGTGTACCTATGATCATTTATGTTGAAAAAATGAAAATGAGTAGATGATCGAATGTATGAAAAAACGAATAAACGAAATAAAATACATACCATTGAGCCCCATAAATAATCGTCAGTCCGACAGTCCCAATTCCCAAACTTTGTTTTCCAACATGTGGTCGTCTGGAAACAAGCCAACCGACGAAAAGGCCAGCAAGTGTAATATCAAATGCGGTATTTAAAATAATAGCAAATTTATTATTTGATCTTTTATCACGGCGATCACTTTCTTTGTCATTAACCGAACGTGGTGATTTATATAAAATTTCCTCTGATTGCGTTTCTTCTGTTTTTTGTTTATTTGTTGATGATGATGATGATGTTGTTGTTGTTGTTGTTGTTTCTTCTGTTGTTGTTGCTGCTGCTGTCTCTTCAGCTGCTGTTAGTGCAGCTGGGCTCATTATTGATGTTGTTGTTATTGGCGCTTCTGATGATGATGATAGTAGGGTTGATGTTGAAGGATTTTCCCTCTCTTCTTTAGCTTGTTGAGATTTCTCTTGTTCTATTTTTGGTAATTCCTTTGTTGGTGATGGCGATGGTTGTCGCTGAATACTATACGGTGATACTGGATTTGATTCTTGTTCTTGTTCTTCTTGTTCAGGTCTTTTCAATGTAGCTTCATAATTTTCTGTTGCTGTATTTTCAGCACTTTCATTTCCAATTTCTTCTGCTGCATCTACAAAAGACCCATCGTCATTGTTATCTCTGTTTACTAACCCGGGATCATTATCATTGTCATTATCAAGTGAAATCAAAACTTGAGAAGTATTAAGACTTTGTGTTAAAGGTGTAGCTTCATTGCTTGGACTATCTTGAACAAGAATTCCTGAAGAACTTGTGCTCGAGGAATTATCACCCAGGGTACCATCATCCAAGGAATTATCACTACCCAAAAGTGTCGCATCATAATTTTCCGATGCGTCTTCTTCTGTTTCATTTGTTTCATTGAATTCTTCAACTGCAGTTATAGGCGGTATAGGCGAGATGTTCTGAGCTATTTGTGCAGACATTTTATACAGCCCATCTATTCCTCCTTACGTATACATTTTATATTTTTTTTTCGATTGTCACCTGAGTCATACAAGAAGATAACGCAGTCGCAGATGCAGATGATGATGTCATCGTCCTTGTAAAACAATGCTAGAAAAGTCTTTGCTAATACACAGAATTCCAAATAATGAAACTGTTTAGTGTCAATATTTAACAATTTTCAAACATAACCTTCTACTCATCTTCGTTACAGCTCACCTACAAATATGACAACTTTACCAAAGAGAATCATAAAGGTAAAAAAAAGAAAAAGAACTGCTGTTACATAAGAAGCGAACGCGATCTAACATGGGAGAGCGTGCAACATATTATATTTACTCTTTTGATCGGATGTTTACTCGCTACTTTCGAATAAAATCTTGGAGCAACAGTAGAAAAAGCATCAAGACACACTATTTATTAATTATTTTAATAACGTTAGGAAACAGAACGTTTGATACAGGAACCGGCGCCGGGTATTAGTGCAACACCACATGAGGAAAATTTGCGTTACTTTGACGTTATTATCGCCGGGCCTAGTCAATCACCTTTTGAAGGTATGTGCGTAAGTGAATTTGAGATAATCATAAATTTGACTATATTATTAATTGATGGTTATTTAGGTGGTGTATTCAAATTAGAACTTTTTCTTCCCGATGAGTATCCAATGGCCCCACCAAAAGTTCGATTTCTCACGAAAATATATCATCCTAATATCGATAAACTTGGAAGAATTTGTTTGGATATTCTGAAAGGTGGGTCAGATGATAAATCTCTACAGAGAAGGGATGATGTAACGGTTTTGGAGAGGATGGGAATTTTTGAAGCATTGTGATTGAAAGATGTTTTTATTTGGGGATACGGAATAATTATTTAGTCATTTTCATAAACGTATAGTAGTCAACTTTGTTCTATTAAATATTAAAATACTGATAATATGCATTTTTTCTATCCAGATAAATGGTCACCAGCCCTGCAAATTCGTACAGTACTCTTATCTATACAAGCCTTGTTGTCTGCTCCGAATCCCGATGACCCTTTAGCAAATGACGTGGCGCAACATTGGAAAGAGAACGAAAAGGCTGCGATTGCTACAGGTATTTTTTAATATATTGAGGGTTTTATTCGAATTGGAAAGAAAGATTTAAGGAATATATTTTTCATTTATTCATAGCTCGTGAATGGACTCGTAATTTTGCTCAAGAATGAACAATTCCACTATCATACCACTTTATTAATATTATTAATCATATTAATCATAATGTTGAATGATGCTAATAAGCTGTGCGTTAGTAACCTAATAAAAATAATAATAGACCGGTACTATTTAATAATAAGGGAGGGAATATAAATTTAATTTTTTTTCTTGCTATTATTCATTATGATAAATAAAATTCAAAAACATGTTAAAAAGATCTGTATACATGTATCCTTCAAGAATCGAATGTGATCTGTTGATTCATAACATAAAGACGAGCACATGTTTGTGTAGATGTTTGTAAGAAACTGATACACAGTAAATCTCTCTAAGACGGGGTGGTACCTTTGGGTCATTTTTATTATCTTAGAGAGGTTTCGCCTTATCGAGGGCAATTCTTACTAATAGCCATTCTAGGTTCTTCCGGTTTGACTTATGGAGATTCGACTTGGAAAGGTTTACTGCGTATGGAGGACACTCATGTTGATCAATTCTGAATTCCCCGTGACCGGCTTTAATGCAATTTCTCGATTTCCAATTTTATTCGCGTATCTCCATCTCTCAGACTCTATTTTAAATCTGTTAATTGATTTGAAGAAAGCCGCTTAATGGCAGTTTGAACTCTAACTGGTAAACTTGGTTTATAAGCTGCAGGTGAATTGTATATAAAGATTAAGTAATATCTGTTTATTCATATAGTATATTTGCAATTTTTGCGTTTTTTATAAATCCAAATTTTAGAAAAAACTTCAGACTTTTGATACAAGAAAGTTGTTGGATCCAATCAAAATCTTTCTTATATCAAGAGTTTACTATAATGCAAGACTCTTGATATAAAAAGATCTTATAAAAGAGATCTTTTTTATATAGTCACATTTTTCATAGTTAATCAAAAAAATCTTTATAATTATATCTCTCTATAATCATTCAATTTTGCATAATTATAAAGAGATTTAACTGTATTTAAAATTTAATATACGTATAATCAAAATTATTATAACTAGTAGTTTTATTAATAAAAAATTTATTATATTTAACTTTATATTGATTACATAAGATTTATATAATTTAATAAAAAATTATAAATTAGTAATTCTTTATTTAGATTATTATATAATAATTATTAATATTCTCTCAATTTTATATTAAGTAATATCTTGAATTAATTAAATATTAATTAAAATAATTAATGTGAATATTTAAATTTCTTATTTTTTATTTTCTTAATAATATTATTGTTATATTTATTAATTAATAGCTAAGTTAATAATTTTTCTTATCTTTATTTTTTTGTATATAAATTCAAAATTATTTATTAATATTTTTTTTATTTCTTTTTTAAAATTAAATTTATTTTTTGATTAGTAAAACTTAAAATATTAATAATTTTTATGATAATCTTTTTATAAAAAACATATTTATTATATTTTTTTATTTTTATTATAAGTATTTAATAATTTTTGTAATAATCTTTTATAAAAAAATATATTTATTATGTTTTTTTATTTTTATTATAAGTATTACTTTTATAATTTTTGTATTATTAAGTATTATATTAGTTTTAATATATTATTAATATTATTATTAGTTTAGAATTATTATATATAATAATATTTATATTTATTAAAAATAATATTTTAGTTATTATAATATTTATATTTATTAAAAATAATATTTTAGTTATTATAATATTATAATAAATAAAAATTAATATATTGCATTATTATAATTATTATTTAAATTATTTTTAATTTTATAAAAATTAAAGTATTTAAATATTAATTAAATTTAAAATTTTAAAATAATATATTATTATTAATATATTTTTTATATAAAAATTAATTATATAAAAATTTAATATAATATTAAATTATATATTTAAAATTTTATATTTTATATTAATATAATAAAAAAAATTAAGAAATATTATTATTATTATTATTATTAATTAAAGAAAAATAAATAATTTTAAAAATAATTTAAAAGAAATAAATATTAAATAATTTATAAAAAAATTATAATAAATTTTAAATAATAATAAAATAATAATAATTTTATAAATCTATTAGTAAAATAATAAAATAAAGCTTAATACTTTTATTTTTAAATCAAATTTATAAAAAATTTTATAATAAATAGATTATAATACTTTTATTAATTAAATAAATAATTAAAATCAAGAAATATAAAAAATAATAAATATAAAAAATAACTTTTACTAATTAAATAAATCAAGATTAATATTAATTAAATTAAAAAAAAATAAAATAAAGAATAAATATTTTAATTTATTAATTAATATCTTAAATATAATTTATTACTTATTTATTAAAACTAATTTATTTTATCTAATTATTATAAAAATTTCTTATATAATAAATTATATTATACTAATTTATATTTATATAAAATATTATAATTAGTTATAAAAAGTTTAATATATTAGATAAATATTAATAGATTATTTTTTCAAAATAAAATTTTTAATTCTGTTTTATTTAATTAAGTTA